TTTACTGAGCCAGTTACAGCAAAACTTATTAACTACATATATATATATATATATATATATATATATATATATATATATATATATATATATATATATATATATATATATATGTATATATATATATATATATATATATATATATATATATATATATATATATATATATATATATATATATATATATATATATATATATATATATACATACACCGGTCTACCCGGTGGGAAATGAGCTAGCGACTGGCTTGCTCTATAGCGATTTTGAAGCGATTTTTTTTTCTTATTTTATTTTTTGCAAACGTCTTAAACATCTTTAAAAATTCGATTTTTAGTGGGGAGTCTATTACAATTATGAAAATAATTGAACTTTAAACATTGCGATTTTGTAGCAATGTGTCGCTAGCTACATATTGTAGCTTTTTAGCTAGCTAAAAAATATCTACAAATCGATAGCTGGTTGATAGCTACATGTCAAAATTTTTTAGACAACAATTTTATTAGATATGACACTAGGTACAATAGCCAGTGGATCTTCAGCTTACTAAGCAAGCTGTCCTCATAGCCAAATCGCTGTCTTTATCTTTAAAAATATCGATAGCTTTTCGCTAACTTAAAAAAGCTAGCGATCCTCGTGGCGAAATCGCTGTCTTTATCGTAACGATTATAACTAGCTATTTGCTAGCCGATTTCCCAGCGGATATATATATATATATATATATATATATATATATATATATATATATATATATATATATATATATATATATATATATATATATATATATATATTAGTAAATAGTCATAAGAGTAAAAACAAATTTTTATATTGAAAAAAAGTTGAAACAGTGACCAGAAAAGTATCATGAATATAGAACATATTTTTCTGAAGTTTAAAAAAAAATTATTGAAATCCTACTGTCGGATTTTAAGAAAATTGATTTCAAATAAATAAACAAATCTATGAGTTACACTAAAAAGTTGTTAATTGAAAATAAAGTTTAAGTACTCTAAGATATTTTTTATCCTTTTTTATTTAAACTTTTGTGAAATTTTTGTAATAATATAACTGATCTACATTAAAAATAAGGCTACAACATTGAGTTTTTAGAAATCAAATAACAAATGGATAGTTGCCATATAAAATATACTCTGTAGTTAAGAACCGCAGCCATTTTAAAAGTTTAAAAGTTTTTCGCATTTTCTCACGCGTGCATACCTAAACATAGCTCTTGTAAACGACCGTGACAATGCTCTACTTTTACTTTTGATTTCGTTACTTTTCAGTCTTACTTTTTTACTTTATAACGCATTTTAGAAAAAAAGTACTTGAAATTCATTGGTTTAAATGAATCGTATAGAATACGCAATAGCCCGGGTGAATAAAAAAAAGGAATTGTTTTTACTCAGCTTTTTTGGAGTAATCGCCCAGTTTTACTTGAATAAAAATTGGATCAATTTTGCTCAAATTTTTATTCACGTAAAGCTAAACAATTACTCCAAAAACGCTGTGTAATAACAATTGCTTTTTTTTATTCACCCGGCTTAATACCACGAAACTGACATAGCACCAGTTTGGCGTTAGATTCTAGCCATTCATCATGGCGCAAAGGTGCATATTGAACATGCATGATATGCAACCTAAACAGAAAATGAGCGAACTAGCTTTTTATTTGGAATACTATTCGAAAACATTTATGACAAAACGCAGCCTGATTGTTTGTATATTTTTCTCGCTCTAAACTCAACAAGAAAATGTTTTTTCTTTTCACTATTAAAAATTCTTTTTTTCCAAGATACAATTTCTTTATTCACATGTTTTCACATAAATTTATATCATACAATTATTCTCAAGTATTAAAATTAACAAACACTTAAACGCATCTGTTCTAATAAACATATTTACATTGATAAATTGAATAAATATTAAGCTTTATTCCAAAATGATTTATAAACTTATTTCTTGAACAATAATGGTTGATGTATTTAATTTTCCGATGCGCAAAAAAACTTTATACTTTGTACCTAAAAAGTTCTTTTAACAGAATGTACATTTTTACCTATACTTATGTAATTTGCTCTTGCAGTACTTTTACTTTGTTACTTTTACAGCCAGTACTTTTACTTTTTAGGGGCTATCTATAAAGGACGCCACCATTTTTTAGCCAATTTTTGACCCTCTTCCCTCTTCCTTTGTCACCGCTTGTCCTTTTTCCCTATACCCGCTTTGAAAAGGACATCATAAAATCCTGACTCCCCCACCCTATTTTTAACCCCCAAAAAATTTATTTCATCTTGCAATGTTGTTTGAATCTGCTACTAAACCTTTGAAAAATAAAATTAAAAATATTCTCATACATTATCTTCTTAAAAACACATGTTTACATAGTTTTCCATGTTAATGAAACTAAAATAAAAAATCTATAAAGTGGCGTCCTTTCCTGACAACCTCCATCCTCCCCTTGTCCTTTTTTGTCCTTTTTATCTCGACCCCCTCTCCCCCTTCCTATTTGGATGACAACTTTTAATACTGCAGTTATAAAGAAATTCTTCAATATTTTTTTTTCGTTTATTTTTTCGTCTTTTATAAATATACTACATGAAAAAAGCTTATAGAGAAGTTCATCATGCCAGACTTTATTAATGGTTTTTTTATTTATTAATTTTTTTAAAAATTAAAATCTTTTCTAATAATAAAAAGAGGACTGATAGTCACACGGGTTTGAGTAATTTCCAGAATTTTTAAAACTGAAAGTACAGATTCTATTCATTTTCTTATTTATAATTTAACTATTAGAATAAAACATCGATTTTTTTGATTTTCAAGAGAAAAAAAAATTAAACTTTAGTGCTAGCAAGATTAGTAGCACCAAAGTCATTCAGTATAATAAGCATTAAAAGTCATCAACAATAACACAAGTCACCAACAGTATTGGCAGATAAAAAAAGCACCAATTTGATCAGAAACAATATCAATACGAGTGCATTTTTGGTAAGAAGAAAAACCATTAAGTACAGTGAAAAAAATAACCGAGCAAAAACCACATTAAAATACAATCAGATGGTTTAAAACTATATATAATCTTTGGTTTAAACGATGGTTTAAACCTGTATATAATATATATATATATAATATATAATCAGTTGGTTTAAACCTTACAACAAATTTATAAGTAAAATTAATCACCGTTTGAAGTTTAAATAGTAAAAAGTTAGACTTTTTACTATTCAAAAAATTTTATAATAGATAAACAATATAATCATTAAAAATACTGTTTGAGTAAAAAATCCAGTCTATTTGAGGACAGCTATTAAACTGTATTTTAATTGGTTAGTTAATGGACAACAATAGTTAGAAAATAAACGTTTGAGTGAAAAAGGCTGACGAGTGGCGCTCCTTAAGGATCAGTTTTTGCATCACTGCTATTTTTTTTCTTTATCTATGATTTACAAAACTGCATTTATAAACATATCAAATTAAACGCCAATAATGGAAAGATCTTATGAGTTATCAATGTCATTTTCTCTGAATATGAAAAAATGCAAACGGACACCGACAGCGTTGTAAATTGGTCGCACAACTGCCTTGTGAATTTCAACGTCGAGAAGTGCAAAGTAATGCAAGTTGGTCGTCACAAAAACTACTTAATAATACCATGGTTGACATTGACGGTAACGGAAGCAATCTAGTTTCAACATGCATTGAGCGTGACCTTTGAGTACTAAAATCTAATAACCTAAAAGTACAAGTAGAAGCAGCAGCTTGAGTTGGCAATCGAATGCTTGGTTGTCTCAGGAAGATATTTTGGTGTCAGAGCTCTCTAGCTGTGGAAGAAACTGTTTGAGCTGTAAATTAGTCCGCATCTAGAGTTTTTTATTTGAAAATTTCTGTACTCAAACGTGCCCAATAATGCGTAATATTGTTTTTCTACGCGTTACTAGACAGGTTTAAGTTATGATTAGAAACTAAAAACACAAGGCTTATATATTCTTAAAGAACGCAGTAACCTTATTCTACAATACAAAATTGCTTATCATTTACAATTAAAATTTAGACTTTAAAAACTTCTTTAAGATTTTCATTCTTCTGGTTGAAATATCAAGAACCGGTAAAAATTGACGCTAGTGCAATAGAAGATAACTTTATGAAGGATAATTCGCATCTTAAATTTGAAGGAGCCTTCATTTTTAACTAGTAGAAACACTTTAGGCTTTCTCAAACAATTTATTAATCTATTTATTAATCCTAATCAGTGAATGTGTTGCAAAAGTGTTAATAATCCAGATAGATTTTTTGAAAATATAGATGTTAACTAACAGTATTAGAAATAAAAAAACAGTCATTAACTTGTATCATTGTACATGCTTCTAATTTAAATCTATGCATGTTATAGAGGCGCCTAATTACTGCTATGCCCCTGGCGTCATGAATCTGCAACTAAAAAAAGGTTTGGGCTAAAACAAAGCACAAGAGCTATCATAAAAATTTAAATCTAATAAAAAAAGAAAAATGTTGAAATAAATAATAGACAGCCGTTAGCCGAATATACTCTTCCGCGATACTCTGGGATAAGACCGTTTACAATAACCGTTTTTCAGTTATTAACGTTTAACTTTATAAATAAATATTAATGAAGTTAAACGTATTTTCAGTTTAACTTTATTAATAAAAAAGCTGTTCCGTTTTTGTACAATTTTTTTTTAAATAATATATTCCTAAAAATAAAATATTTGCCTTTGTAGATAAAATAATCTTTAAAAAAAGCTGTAAGGTTGAACTTAGCGGTATTGCCCTTAATTGAATCGAATTTTACCGGTTTTGGATGGTTTCCGTATTAGCGGAAGTCATTTTAAAATGTTCTTATTGATAAAATTTTAAACAAATTTTTCCGTAGATAAAAAATTATATTTCGGTCGGTATTCGTTCAAGGTTAATTATTAATAATATATTACACAAAGGTTCTGAGTTGTTTTTTATCGTCTATTTGTTTGAGATCATATACATGAGCTGTATGTTTGTAATTCAAAAAAATTTGAAATTATTTTTAAAAGTATAAAAGCAATTAGTGTTAATTGCCGATTTAACTTTGAGGTGAAATACCAATCTATTATTAAAAATAACGCAAATGGATACAGTAATTAATGAAAAAAGCGTGTGTGAATGCATCATATAATCCAAAAAGTGCTTTTTATGTCATTTGTTTGGTATGATGTAAACAAAGATATATACTTTTTTCAGTTCTGTTTATAATTTTCAACTTTTTACGATGAACTCAGCAAATAAAGCTGTTATTCAAAATCGGATTTTAAACCATCAACAAATGCAACAACAGCATGTTTTTGCAAAAAAAGACATGTTTCTTATTCCACAATTTGATATTGAAAACAATCAAAAGAGCATTAATGGTCAAGAAGAAAATCATGCGTTAAATTTATGTTCGTACTCATCAAGGGAGCATGTTTCACAATCTTTGTATGGATCGCAAAATTTTGAAAATTTAAATGACCATTCTCTAAAAAGCACCTTATGTCCTTTATATAACTTTAACAAACCCACATTTTATAAGCAATTAAATACTAGAGTTACGGAAACGCCTGTTATAAAAAATGAACCTACTGACTGGAGTCCCTACGGTGGTAATTTGATCAATAACTCTGAAAACTATTTAATCAATTCGGGTACGTAATATTTATTTTTTTGTTCAAGTCCAATTATTTTAATGATTCTTGATTGCTTATTTTTTATTTTTTGGTTTATGAGAAAAACAAATTTTTTTAGATCAATACTGGAATAAGGATGTGAACGATCAAAAAAGGAAGCGAATATCTTATAACTGCCTACAAATTATTGAGCTTGAAAACGAATTTATAAATACGCCCTACATATCTCGAGAACGAAGGCTACAGTTATCATCTTATCTAAACTTGACCGAGCGGCAAATTAAAACGTGGTTTCAAAATAGAAGGATGAAATCAAAGAAATTAGCAAAAGTATTCCAACTTCATTCAAGTAGAGACACATGTAAAGATGAAACATGTAAAGATAAAACATGTAAAGATAAAACATGTAAAGATTAAACATGTAACAATGAGCCGCAATAGTTTTTTAATGTTTTATTGCCAACTCGGAATTATTCTTTGAAATTTCTTTTGTGTAAATATCATTATTTAACATATTAATCTATTTTTATAGCAAGTCAAATTATATCTTTATTAGTTACACTTTTTTAATTTAAATAAACGTTAAATAAAAAAACGTTTGGAAAATTATGAACATTGGTTTAGTTTTTATAGCTTTTTGTTGTTTCTTTGTTTTTACATCACATTTGGTGTCTTTTTAAGAAAAATTTGTGTCTAATAGTATAAAAATTAATTCTATATAATTTATGTTGTAGTTTACAATCTTTAGATTTTTCTACTGTATTTTCTAAATATTAAAAAAATGAACATAGGTATGCGATGTATTTTATTAATATTTGTGAGTGTGACTGCTGGATGTATGTGTGGCTGATGGTGTTTTATATGTTTGCAAATTTTATCATTGTGCTCCTCTGAAGATTTGTTATTAGATTTGTGGACACGTGATAGCTTTAGAGAATTTAATTTTTATTATTATGTTTTATAATATAGTTTTTTAATTTATAAGTTTCTTAAAAGTTTCTATAAATAAAAAAGATTTTATAATCAAAAATAAAACCAATTTTTTTTTAGAAAGCTGGTTTTTTACATTTTATTTAAGCGACACTTCAGATGAATGTTGATACCCTTGTTATCAAGAACTGATACTCTTGTTATCAATTTATTATAAGGTTTATACGAAATATGAAATATTTTTTATGAAAATATAAAACTCTTTTTTTTGAAAATATAAAACATATTTTCGAAAATAATAAAACAAACTTTTTTTTTTTAATTTTTATTTAGGTGCCCCAAGAAGTCCTTACGGTCATATCACAGAGCACCTCGGATAAGCATTTAATTGGAAGTCCACGCCTCTTTCCTAACCGATGTCGCAAAACCTGCTCAGAGGTGGGAGTTGAACCACGGATCCTTTGTTTCTAAGGCAAATGCGCCACCTTTAATACCTATATAAAACAAATTTTTAGAAAGTATAAAGCACTTAATTAGATTAATAACCTAATTATTCTATAAAACTTTGGAATTTAAAGATTATTTAAAGCAAAGAAGAGAACTATAAAAATAAAAAAAGGTATCCTCTAGAGGATACCTTTTTAGCAGAGTCTATTAAATTGTACTTGTAAGTTTGGAATAGAAGTTTTATATTTATAAAATATCTAGATATAATATGGTGAATAATGTTAATTCTTTTACTGATATTATCAGAGATAAAACCAGTAAAGGACTTAGCGATGATGAAATCGCATCAGTAAAAAAAGCAAGGTGCAGCTCTTATGAGGAGACACATAAATTTAAAATTTGATTGTTAATTGAGCATGATCCATCTCAAACTTTAGCATCATTGCGAAATATTCTTGTTTAAAGGAATAATATGCCATCTATACCAACAAATCTATTTATTTTAAGTCAATGGACTAGGAAACGACAAAGCTTTTGCAGGGCTATTATTTAGGACTACTGATTCCTGAAAATAACTTTTCTCAATGAAACAGCTTTTCTCGATGAAACAGCGTTTTTAGATGAAACAGCATTTCTAGATGAAACAGGCTTTAACTTAAATACTTTTAAGCAATATAGCTTTTCTATAAAGAATACAAAATGTTTTGTTACCTGCAAATCGTGGAAAGAATGTAAGTCTAATGGCCGACTAAACAGTTAATGGTATTCTAAGCTTTAAGATAGTGGATGGTGCCTATAATGGCAATCTTTTTTGTAATTTTATATCTAACATTTAAGACCGTATTTCCAAACAAATTTCTTTTCTGTACAAGTATTGGATAATTGTGCATTTTATCGTCAAAGAGATGTAATCGATATGCTTGGCCAATCGAGGCTTTCCGTTTATTTTTTGCCTCCTTTGTAACCCCAATTGAACCTGATCGAGGTAGACTTTAGTTGACTTAATTATTTATTATTATTGATATTATACTTCTGTAAGCCATTTCCAAAACCTAACAATGAAGTTAAGGCTACCTTGAATTAACTTATACCAAGAATTGGCATTAATTTCTGTGCTTTGTACAATAATATGAGAAGTTGCGACTTGAAAAGTGTAGCAAAGCAAGAATTTTATTAAAGTATATGCTTTGTTACTTATTTAATATATTTAAATATAATGAACTATAGTCAAATAAAAATTATGTTTCTAAAGAATAAAAAATTTTTTATATTCTTTTAAAAAATGTTTCATATTATCATAAAAACTGTTTTATATTTCGCAGAAACCCTGTAATATATAATATTGTATATGTATAACCGTCATCAGTGTATGAGGTTTTCCTGACGTAAGATGGTGACGTAAACCATTGGTTTCTAAATCGATGTTGTCACGAAACTACTATTGTGCTCATTCATCCAATTTCTTTTAAATTACTTTCGTGTGTTATTATTATTATTATTATTATTATTATTATTATTGCTATTACTATTATTGTTATTATTATTATTATTGTTATTATTGTTATTAATATTATTATTATTTTAAAATTTACTATTAATATTAGTTATTAATATTATTATTATTATTTTAAAACATACTAGCCGTAAAAATACGTGTCCCTATAAGTCTATTACACACCGAACTTTTCTACACTTTTTCCTTATATATATCCTAGCTTTCCGCACCCTTAAAATGCGGGTCTTTACCAAACCTAACATTTCTATACATATCTATTCCACACAGATCATTGCTATACCTATTCTTTATTTAGTTCAATATTTTTTAGTAACATAATTTATTCTGAAAAATTGCTTTAAAAGCAAAAAAAATATGCGCACTTTTTCACCATACATACACCTTAAAACAGATTTATAGTTAGGTTTGTTTGTTGTTAGGTAGTTAGGTTGTTAGATTAGTTAGGTTGATTTATAGTTAGGTTTGTTTCTCCTAAACGCATATCGTCGATAGCGTTTAGGAGAAAAACAAATAACAGATAGACTGGTACAGATCATTTCACGGATAAGAGTTTGTATTAATAACAATAGTAATATTTTAAATTAGTAATAATTAGTCTTTATTAGAACATATCCCATAAAATAATTGCCTCTATATTTTTTAATAAAAGGAATTTTCCTAAAAATTTTAAATAAAATCTTATTTCTAGTTTTTTTTCTAGTTTTTTGCAACAAAGTGACGTCACATACGTCAGCTTCAACGATTTACGAAAAAGCCGCGTCTATCATTTTTAATGTTCTAAGAAGATGACACAATTTTAGCTATCAGAAAGTATCAAGAGAGGGGCAAATTTAAAATTGATGGTTCAAATTTTCCACTTGGATGAGACAACATGTTTCGTGTTTTTTTAATCTTGTCAATTTGTTTTATAACAACATAAATACAAAAATTCAAAACAAAACAGCTTGAGCAAAAAAGACTTATAGTTATTAGAAAAGTTTTTTTAATCACAATCCTGTATAAAACGTTAAATAACTTTGTAAAACGGAAATAAATGCTGTAGATAAAAATTTAGGAGATGTCGCCACAATTCAATTTTCAAGTAAAAGTAAAACTTGATATATGTTTTAGTGTAGGAGTTCTATGAAAAGATTGCGAGACGTACTGTCATTCTCATCTTCTTTGAGCCCCTATCTGTTTTACTTACTTTTTTTATGAAATACGAAGTTGTAAAATTTTTATGTTATATTAAAACAGAAAAAAAAAAAAATAATAATAAAAAAAATAAATAAAAATAAGTTTATTTTAACATAACATAATTTGAAGTTTATATAAGGTAGATATTTTATTACACTTTCGTTCATATTTTCTTATAAAAAAAAGTGCTTGAACTCTTACTCGCAACTACCTAGGTCGCAATGGCTGCCACGAGTTTTGTGTCAAACACGCTCGAATGAGCATATATATATATATATATATATATATATATATATATATATATATATATATATATATATATATATATATATATATATATATATATATATATATATATATATATATATATATATATATATATATATATATATATATATATATATATATATATATATATATATATATATATATATATATATATATATATATATATATATATATAATATATAAATACATATATATATATATATATATATATATATATATATATATATATATATATATATATATATATATATATATATATTATATAAATATATATATATATATATATATATATATAATATATAAATACATATATTTATATATATATATATATATATAATATATAAATACATATATATATATATATATATATATATATATATATATATATATATATATATATATATATATATATATATATATATATATATACATATATAGGCCGGTGCGATAGGGGAGGGGTGACACCCTCCCCCATCAATGATTTTTTTGTTCATTTAGTCGGCAAATTTGACTAGTTAGTCGGCAAATGTAGACCATTTCTGCAGTGATATTTATTAGATTGTGTATAATAAGCTAATAGTTATTCAATTATATATGAAAAGTATAAATTTCTGTTTTATAATAAAAAGATTTAAGTTTATAACGTTTACTTGATTTTAATTATAGTTCTAGTTTGTTTTTTTAAGCGATTCCCTGTTCACACTATATTGATTGCACTACATTGATTGCATTGATTGGACTATACTGTGGGTTTTATGTTGAATGCCATGGGATTTAAGATGTTATCTTATAAGTTGCTTACAGCAACTTTTGTTATACAACTTTTACTACTTTTGTTATACAACTGCATTATAAGCATATTGCAGTTGTATAACAAAATATTCCAAAGTTTTCTTCATCGAAACAGAAAAGTTTTTTTCATCGAAGTAATAAATTTTTTTTTTGGAATGTTTTTTTTTTTAAAATAAACGAAATGTTCCAATTAAAGAACAAAAGTGTTCCAAATTAGGAAACCGATTTGGACTGCTATTGGAAATTTATTTCCAATTCCAGTCCAATCAATTAAGTCAAATTATGGTGTGAAGTATACTAGAGTTGTCTGTTTATATCTAATCATAAATGTTTTCATATATAAACTCATTTGGTTAAAAAATATTTATTCCTTTAGTGTTATATTTACGGAATTTAA